TATTTGAAAAAGATCTACAACCAATTGAAATTTAGATTGGATGCAACGGTAAATTAGGTTTCAGAGAATTCAATTTCCGTTCTCAACCCATGACCAATATGAGCTCGAGGTTTCCTTCGTAACTCCCGGAACTTCTTCATAGTGGCTTTGATCCATGCCTCATTTTATAGAGAACTTCAAAGTGGCTCTATTTCATTATATTCCATCCATATCCCAATTCCATTCATTTAATATCTATGTGGTGTCATTGAGATAAAAGATGTCGTTTCTAGTCTATCTGTTTCTATTTCTATATATATGGAAAGTGAAAAAATTATCATATATATAATAATCCAGAAATTTGATTTTAAAATCTTTTATACTAGTTAATCTAGTATCCTTATACATGAAGATAATCAATTTCTAACATGGTATCAGAGCCATACCCTAAACTTAGCCGTGTCAATAGATTGACAAATCCTTAAATGTCGAACAAAGGACTCCAAAAGGAGTCAAGCCTCCTCGAAGGTACGAAGGCAGTCAAAAATGACTAAGACTCCAAAAGAGTCAAGCCTCGATTAAGGGGAGGCGTGCTTTGTTCGAGGGGAGGTGTTGGATGATGAAAGTCCCACATTGGCTAATTTAGGGAATGATCATGGGTTTATAAGTGAGGAATACTAACTCCATTGGTGTGAGGCCTTTTGGGGAAGCCCAAAGCAAAGCCATGAGAGCTTACGCTCAAAGTGGACAATATCATACCATTGTGGAGAGTCGTGTTCGTAATCTAGTATCCTTATACATGAAGATAATCAATTTGATCGTTCTATTATGGATTTCTGACTACATTCTCCATAGGGCCTAAGTATCGTACAAATAGTTATTATTTCATTTATAAATTTTTGAATAAGTAAATAAAAAGAATTTGAAAATTTTTGTTGCTTTTAAATTGATAAAAAAATCCAAATGACATTTTGACAATCATATGCATCTTGATTCTAAATGAAAGTAAACATTATGAACGAGTTTCTAATTATGATTCCAGTTCGTTCTCATTACATATTTATAAACATTATAAACAAAAATAGTATTTCGATTCTAGGTTATGATTGATTTTCATTACAATCACAAAAAGTTCAGGTAAGTAAGTGGGTCCTAAGTTAAATATAGGGTTGTGAGATAGTTACATTTCTACCATATATTTAACTACAATTACAATCAATATAGCAAGATCATTGCAACTAGTTCTCAATTGTTTTGTTGATAATGATGCAATTCAATACAAAACAGATTAGGAAATTTTAGCATAGTTTTGTAGTATAATTTGGAAAGAGATGCAAGTTTGAAATTTATTTATTCAAATATAACTGAAGGAAAATCCATCAGAGTACACAAAACAGGAAGAAAATCCTACAACATATTGATGATGCCATTTTCTGTCCATGTTCAAAGTTCAAACGGACGGATAGACAAGGTTTTAGAGAAAAGCAAAGTAAATTTCCTGAATAAGAGGGGTACCTCAGGCATCAACATGTCCAATCAACGCAAGAAGCATTCTCTCGTAGTCCCCAGAAGTGTCTTTGGCGATGTCACGATCCAGGGGAATGCTGTTCCTGCGAAAATATTCTTCTTTGATGCGCTCCATGTCGATTTCAGCTCGAGTAGCAATGACCCTTGCAAGTGCCCACTCATCTGTCCCCAACTTATTGATCGCCAATCGAAGGATTTTGGAAAAGTGTCTTTCTGGGAAGATCAAAGACTTGATGGTTGTTCTCAGTAACTTAAGGTACTCATCTTTGGGATCGACCTTCAAATCCTGAAAATATGCAGATTCATTTTAAGAAAGTAGTTCAAGGAAATGGAGGGCGTTTACATGAAAGAACAGCAGGAAAATGTTGAAAAGCTTATGGAAAATGTGTACATATGTACCTTGTTGATGGCATTGCCATACTCGTTATTGTAGTGGTTAAATGTTGTGAGTAACTGCGCTTTGCTCCTTGTCGTCAGGATTCTAATTAGTTCGTCATGATTGTATTCCTTATTTGCTATCTTCTCATGGAGTATTTTTGCCTCTGATTTTGCTATGGATTTATTCACCTCATCTCCCTCGTATCGGAGGGAGCTAATCAGAGGGACCAAAAGCTGCATAGAGTTTTGATCACGAATTAGTGAGTTCATCAGCAAATAAAGTAACAGAATCAGCACAGAGAAATTTCAGCTGTGCTAGAGAAATTTAAATAATACCCACAATTATAGCTAGCTAGGAAATGTCATTCATCTCAAACATGTTCTTCGGTCAATCTCTTAGTTTATTCAGTGTCATTGAATTATACATGTTTGATGATATTGCTTAAATGTTTCAGAAGTTGGTGATGTTACCTTGCGGATATCTCCAGATGTATGATATGCAACATCTTCTTCAAGAGATCTCTTGAAACGGGCATGATAGGCCTGCCTCGCCTTGAATAGTTCGAGTGGTGATCGAGTGCAAGCTACTTCCACAATAACCAAATTGTTTGAGGTTGACCTCTTTGTTGCTTCATTAACCATAAATGCATCACGATCTGCAGGTTCCAATGTCCACAAAAGTACAATTCGCTGTATGAAGCACAAGATAAGTGGAAAAAGAAAAGAGTCAATGAATACTGGAAAATTCTTCTGCTCTGTACAAATACTACGCACAAAAACCGAATTTCAGTCGAAGCAATTGCAAAGTTTGAGAGATGAAATACGCAACAAACTCTTACCTCAAAATCACTCGAAAGTTCCTTGTCTAGTTCTTTAAGAAGATCTTCACCATGCATCTCAGCATAGGTTTTCCGAATTAAACTTCTTTGAGCTGCATTTCTATGGGCCAAAATCGATATGATCAAGTTCTCGTTCGTTCCCCATCCTGCACGTTGATTGGCCAAAGATCACAAAGCAGCAGTTATTCAACGGGACGATAACCAGAAAGTGCTCGCTATCCAGATGAGGATGGGAGAGCCATTAAACTCCAGAATGCAGAAATAAAAGAGTAGCTAGCTTAACAATTTCATCCAAATTCTGTCTGAAGTAACTACTATACATAGAGCCATCTGACATTTAAATCGACCAAATATAGATCAAGCAATAACCAAACATAAACACGATAAAGCAGAAATTTAGATAAACAGAAAGAGCGCAATCATGATCGCCAACAGATCAGAAAATCGAACCGACGTAGCTTCATTTCGATTTACATTAACGTGATCACTTACCAAAAATGAACACAAAATTAGATCAGACCTTAACGAAGATTCACAATCAACAATCAAGATGCAATAAAACCTCGATCCTCAGACATTGACTCTCACGATCAACCATTAAAAAAAAAACAACGAACAAAATCATAATCGAACGACAAACGATTAAGATAACAAACCTTTGAAAGCTTTGCGAAGCTGCTCACAGTCTTCGGCAGGAGAAGGAACATGCTCTGGAACTTTGATGGTCGCCATTGCCACTAATCTTCCTTGATTGCGCTCCGGAACTCTGAGACTGTTTCTCTGTAAGATCAGATTTGAATAGAAATGGATTTCAGGATGGAATGGGGGGCCCATTAGCAATAAATAGCCGTGGAATTCATTGGATCTACAAAATAATAATAATAATAATAATAAAAATAATAAAATAATTTGTCGTGGTTTATGGGGAAGATTTCTACGTGGATGCCACTGCGTCAACGACAGGTATGAATATCAACTCCACTAATCAGCTAAAATCCTAATTAAAATATTATTCTAATAATTCGTTGGTGTATTCTTTTTCAAAGGAAAAATAAAATAAAAAAAAAGGGTACTTTTGAATTTGTTCTTAATTAAAATCTTATTTCTAACAAAAATATTATTATTATTATTTTAAGTTTTAAAAAATGTGAAGCAAATGTTTTAATTCATGGACGTATCTATTTTTGGTTATATGACACTCCAATAATTTATTTTCAAATTAAAAAAATATGGGTTAAATTTAAAGTTTTAATAATATCCTTACATTAAAAAAAAAAATAAAAAAAAATAGTATTTTATTTCAAAAATACCTACCATTATAACTACGTTTAACAAATATTTATAATTTTTTAAAAGTAAAATTAAAAAATTTGAAAATAATTTATAAGAGTCGATAAACGGTAAAAATTTACTTAAATTTATTTTTTTATAAAATTAAAAGATGTTAATACTACCTTTAAAATCTTACCGATATTTATTTTTAAATATGGTTGTAATAATATTTTTTAACACGGTTCAAAGTTATTTGGAATAAAGGTAAAAGCCTCTACGGAGTTTTCTTTTTACCCTTCATTTTATTTATTTTTATTTATAACTTTATTTTGAATATATTTAATTCAGCAATTAATAGATCTTTTTTTTTCAAAATTAATATAATTAATTATTTAATTAGAATAAACCAACCATGCTTTATTTAAATATATATTTAATTCATTTTGACAAATAAAATTTTATTAGATAAATAATTAGTTATTTACTATAATTAGTAATTAATAACTTTTAATTATAATTAAATAGCTAATTAGATTAGTTACCTTAAAAACTATAACTATTGATTGGCAATTACTTACTAATAAAGCCTAATTCGATCCTTCTTAATATAATATATTTTTAAAGTACAATTAATTCATTCAAATTAAACGTTGCAATTAACTCTAATAAATTAAATATTCTACTATAATAATTATTTTACAAATATTATATAAATTATATTTTATCGTCGTATTAATAATTTATTATAATTATATAATATTTACAAGTATAAACTATCTAAAATAATTTACTTCAGCATATACATAATTCGATTTTAAAATATTAATCGTACTAAATATTTCAATTAAATTTAGATAACTTTATTAATATCGAATAATATATTAAAAGTAAATTTTAATTAAAATTATTTCAATAATTTGAGTGGCTAAAAATGAAATAAGTAACCATAATTAATTATAAGAAATTATAGGGTCACGGAGTCAACTGTGGGCTGCAAATTGGACAAATACCCTAATTTGTTCCATCGGCTCATGGACTACACACACGATTTTTCGTTGAAGTAATTGTTAAGTTTCATTGTCGCGTTCCTTCGCTTACAAGTTGATGATTTACCTCACCCATTCAACAAACTTTTAGCTTAATCCGAACGAACACTGGTCCACGAGCGGAACCCACTGAGAATTTGGTAAACTAGAGCTGAAATCTTTTGTAGAGAGAGAGAGAAAGGAGAATGATCGAGTGGGAAGCAAGGAGAATCTGAATGTTAATGGAGAATAAGCTGAGCTAAGGATTGGGGAATTTGCTGGAAATCGATTAGTTTCTTCTCTTTTTTTTACATGAAATGCTATCATGGGTAAGCAACAATCCTTGCGCAGCAAAGCAGTTCATCTTGTCTCCGATATCACCACCGTTCTTCTCAACCCAATTTCTGATAAACCTTCCGTGAGAACGTCTGCTCATCCTCATCATCATTCGCCTGTGAGTTTGTCTCTCTCAAGCTGGAATAGGTTTTCAATTTTTTTTTTTTATTTTTTTGTTTTGCTATCCTTCGATTGTTCTTCCGGCAGTTCTACTTCGGGATTTTATACGTTATTCTTTGGCATGCCTTTTATGGACGGGATGGCTCTGATTTCACTTGGTTTGACTTAATCGGTGGTTGTTATATACATTTTTTGAACTAATTGCTGAGATTCATGGAGGAATTGCCTTTATTTGTCTTGATCGTTAATATTTGTACATAAATGTAGGGCACAAGGTTAGATTCATCCAGTTCGAATGGTTGTTGATAGGGAATTTCACTCTGCTTCTGAAAATAAACGTGTTTTTCTTCTAGTAATGGAACATTTATGTATAGAGATGTTTGTTAATGGGAATTACCTGAGGTTTGAAAGTCTCATTGGGAGTAGGCAGTCATGTCCAATCTTTAACTGGTTGGCATTTTTCTTTTAGGAGGATGCGAGCGACCTTAAAGACAACAGTGATCTAGGGTCAGCTAGTGAACAGGGCTCTGAATTTTCAGATGATGGCCCTGATACATCTTCATTTACTGCATTCCTGTATTCCCTCTTGTCGTCCTCAGAATCGCGGGAAAATTTGAACTCCGATGAACACAGTGATAATCAGGCCGTGGCAGCCAGTCAGCCAATGAACAATGCTGCGAAAGAAACTGTTACGAAGAAGAGCTTGTTTTCTAGGGGAAAACAATCACTTGGTAGAGCTTTTCATCATGCTGCAAGAATCACTGGCTACCGAAACCAGGAGCGGAAGAGTGATGTTGAGATGAAAGTTGATGATACTAAATTTTCTGGAATTGAGATGATGGAGAAGTCAAATGTAATCGAGGTTGCTTCATCGGTTGACGATGTCCCTGATGCGTCCGAACCTTCACTGCTCCTTTCGGAAAAAGCTAGAACTATTCTTTATGCTTCCCTTCCAGCTCTAGTTCAGGGGAGGAAATGGCTATTGCTATACAGGTGAAGAGCTCCAGCATTTTGTTTTATAGATTATGCTTCTAGAAATTCTCATAGGATTTCAATTATTTATACTCTATCATCGGTTTCGTAAATATATATCGGTCGTGCAATGCAGTACGTGGAGGCATGGGATATCACTTTCAACTCTATATAGGAGAAGCATGCTTTGGTCTGGGCTCAGTTTGCTGGTAACTATAAATTTGATTTTTCTATGAACAAGTTTGCCTTGATATGTATTCATCTTAAACCATGTCTGTTGAATGAATGTAGCAAAAAGTTCTTTTCCTTTTAATAAAAATGTAGGGTTGAACTATCAATTCAAACGTATCTCAGTGAATAAGACACTAATTATTATCTCAAAAGTTGATGATTCGGTTTCTCACTGCAATAATTGCTACCGATGCATATGAATATTACATATATGCAATAGCTTCTGTCAGACAATGTATCACTTGTGCATAATTTATTTCTAGATTGTTGGGGACCGTAAAGGTGCTGTATTTGGCGGTCTGGTGGAAGCACCGCTAAAACCGAGCAGCAAGAAAAAGTATCAGGTGCTTCTTACACGTCTTTACTCTTTACTTAAAGCTTAGTGAGGAAGTGTCTGCAATTGACCTTATATTATCATGAATCTTGAATAGGGAACAAATAATACGTTTGTGTTCACAAGTATACCTGGCCATCCTGTGATTTATCGCCCCACAGGTACTTACAAACCTTGTTTAATAGTTCATTCACCAGAAGTCTTTTCATACCAATCTTTTGCATGTTCTTTGTGAATTGACATTGTTTTACTAGTAACCACAGATTCAGTTCATTGGCAACCTTTGCCACTATCCTTAAATGATTATGCAAGTTTATTATGAACTTAGAGTTAAATATTGGTTGGGGTATTAGGTAAGTAATCATTCCACTGGACATCATCAATGAGCTTAAGAAAATGAAGATACTGTATTTGATCATTTTGTAGCTATAATATTTTGCTAAGCATTCTGTTTCTTTGCCTAATCTTGAGATTAACTACGCTCCTTCTAGGGAATGGGGCAAATTATGCCCTTGCACCATTTTCATGGCCGTATTCTTGTGGCTAATGAAAGTATTGCAACTCCTTTATCTTCATCTATTGGAAACTTTGGATACCCTTTTGTCTCTCGTTGTGAGGACTAGCTTGCATTTTCTCTCGAGTTGCGAATTTGAACATTCCACACAATAATGTTGATAAATATCGACCGTGACTCAGTTTTTTCATGCACGAGCTTCAAATGGCCTAATTAGGATTTCGGTTTTAAGCCTATACGTAAAGTGCTATTGGCACTTTTTCTCCGAAATTTGAGTAAAATTAATTGAATTTGAACATTTCCTAATTGGGCCGTTTGAAGTATGCACGTGAAAAAATTGAGTTACAGTCGATATTTTTCAACATTGTTGTAGGGAATGCTCACAAAATTTCAAATTCGGTTAATTGGACTCAAATTTCAAAGAAAAAGTGCCCATAGCACTTTACGTACAGCTTAAAACCGAAATCCTAATTGGACCGTTTGAAGCGGGTAATTGCATATTCTTGGATCTTGTTAGGGACCTATTCTAAGATTGCTAATAATACTCGATGGGTGCTGCCTTAGAGTTTTCTTTCTTACATGGCTTTATATCCAGTAGTCTCATGGAAGGAAATCTTAAATTGATTCAACCAGGTGAAAATTACTATTTCACATTGTGCTCACCCGACTTCTTAGCCATTGGCGGTGGCAGCCATTTTGCACTCTACTTGGACAATGACCTGTGAGAACACTGATTAACTGCCCCTTCTAATAGTCTATGGTCATATCAGTTATCTTAAGTAAACTTTCAACTTAATCATATGCTTATAAATATGTTCTTGAATTTAAGATTGAATGGATCAAGTTCGACATCGGAGACGTACGGAAATCCTTGTCTTGCAAATACTGAAGAATTTGAAGTGAAGGAAGTTGAGGTGATTGTAGAACGTCACAGTTTATAAATTTTACAAGTTCTAAGATCTAAGATCTGTTTTTAAGTAACCTACCACTGATTCTAAGATCTGTTTTATAAATTGTGTATGTAATGCAGTTATGGGGCTTTGTATACACCTCACAGTATGAAGAAATGCTTGCTTTGAGCCGAACTGAAGCACCCGGGATTTGTCGTTGGTGAACGATTTTCAAATACAACCCGAACTGCAGCTTTACCGAATGAATCGACATCCTGTGTATCTCATAACCATCTAGACATGATTATATGATGATGAAGGCCGATGAACTAGTTAAAGAAATGAGAAGGTTGAATGGGTATTTCTGAATCTGAATCCTTCTCCACACTTGTACATAAAAACTTCACACATGTGCATATAGAAGTGTGCAGTTTTGCTTTCCTTTACTTGTACCTAACTTTGTTTGAAGGGCATTGTTTTGTTGGGATATCATATTCTGAGTATTTATTCAATGAATGATTTGCCCTTTTGCTTCTTCTTTTCAAATAAGTTGCCTCATTTCCCTTATATTACACTTTATGGTCCTCGTATGAAACTTTGGTCCTCGTATGAAACTTTGGGGAGGTGTAAATTTGCTTATTAGGGCGTGTTTCTTCACTCGTATTACCATTTATGGTCCTGGTGTGAAATTTTGGGGAGGAGATCATGCGTTTTAAAACCATGAGATTGATAGTAGTACGTAACAGGTCAAAGCAAATAATATCTATTAGTGGGAGTTTGGGCTGTTACAAGTGGTATGGTATCAGAGCCAAATATTGGACGGTGTGCCAGTAGGACACTGGCTCCAATGGGGTGGATGGCATAGTGAGGACACTGGCTCCAATGGGGTGGATGGCATAGTGAGGACACTGGCTCCAATGGGGTGGATGGCATAGTGAGGTCACTGGCTCCAATGGGGTGGATTGTGTGATCCCACATGTGGCACACCGTCCAATGGGGTGGATTGTGTGATCCCACATGTGGCACACCGTCCAATGGGGTGGATGGCACAGTGAGGACACTGGCTCCAATGGGGTGGATGGCATAGTGAGGACACTGGCTCCAATGGGGTGGATTGTGTGATCCCACATCTTGGAGAAGAGAATGAAACATTGATTATAAGGTGTGAAAAGTTCCTTGTGAAGGTGTGATCTCTCTAGTAGATGCGTTTAACTGTGAGGCTAATGATGATTTGCAACATGTCAAAATGGACAATATCTGCTAGCGGTGGACTTAGCTGTTATTATCTAATGTTTAATAGAAAATTTCAAATGATGAAAACCTATTGAACAAAATATTAAAAATTTATGAACCTCTTTTAAGTACAAAATTACTTTTTATAAGTTTGAACTTGAGATCTAATTTAACCTTTACAATAAAGCACAAGGTTCATTTTTATACCACAAAAAAAAAAAAAATAAAAAAAAAAAAAAAATAAAAATAAAAAATCCCATAGAACTGAAATATTAGATATTCAAACCATAACTCACGTTGTTTGTAAACTATAAAATTTCTCATTAAATATTATTTTTATTTATTATTTGACACGTCAATAAATAATATATTATTTTTTTATTTATTATTTGACACATCATTAAATGATATATTATTTTATTTTATAGATTCGAGGTTATTCTTATAACAATTTTAGAAAATATCTCATTAATTCTACCATCACAAAAGCTATTATTTTAAATATATGAAAATATTATTTGCCTTAATAGAACATTTTCTATTATTCATTTTTCCTCCATTTCTTCAGATCTTGAGAAGCCATTTTAGGCACTTAGTTTAACAGAGCTTTAGACGCTTGGGAGTTTTTTTTTCTCTTTTTTATTGCAAGTATTATTTCCTTTAACTTCATGATACTGCACCAGCTTTACATGGTTGTTCTTCAATCTGTGTAGATTCATAACAGTTTCTCTTCCAGATTTTCGTAGAAGAACGTTATTGAAATCATTTCAAGGTTTTTTTTTTTTTTATTATTTTCAATCTGTTTTAGGAGTAAGAAATTCTGTTTGTTCTGTTTTTCTACGATCTCGTTCGGTGGTAGCTGATTTTAGCTCTCTCTTCGGATTTCTCGTCAACCTCTCCCAGATTTTAATACCCTAACCAATTTTATTTTCAAATTTGTCTCTGATTGGCTGTTTACTCTAATTTTGGGCTTCTGAATCTTTGTTTTTTTTTTTTTTTTCGAGTTGAACTGAGAATTTTATCCGTAGATCCGGACGTGATGATTTTTGGGACAGAAATGTTTAATTTACAGGGTTTTCCCCCAGCGGTTGGGAATAATTGACATCGGCTATTGGAAACTGACCTCTATTTGCTTCAACTTTTTCATTGATTGCTTTATAATTACATTAAGGAACAGTTAACATGATGCTTAGTTTCGATGTTTTTTCTTTTTGTAGCTTTTGTATGACACAATTTTTGTTTTGTTTTTCATCTTTGTAAAGGAAAGGTAGTAATATTTGATGGAGGATTGTGATAATCGGCACTGGGATGAGCTATCCCCTGATGCACTGGGTCTTATCTTTAGGAATTTGTCACTACAAGAGATACTTGTTGTAATCCCAAGGGTTTGCAAATCATGGAGAAAAACAGTGTTGGGTCCTTACTGCTGGCAGGAGATAGACATTTTGGATTGGAGCTTACTTCGAGATCCCGATACCATCAATCGAATGCTTCAAATGTTGATTTCAAGAAGATCGGGTTCCCTTTGCAAGCTCTGCGTTAGCTGCCTTCCTAATGACTCTTGTTTGTCCCTGATTGCAGAACAGTGAGTTCAATAAGAACCCCCTGTTATTGTCTTCTTCTTTAATGCACTGTTGTTTCAGCTACTCCTGTTTGTTGAAAATTTCCTCCCTCTTTGGAGATCATAATTATATTGTCTGGTCAAATGAGTGCTAAAACTATGATTATCTCTGTTTCCCGAAGGAGTTAGGCATCTAAGCCGATATTGTCTTTTTTGGGCTTTTTCTTTTGGCTTTCCCTAAGGTTTTTAAAATGCAAACGTGTCTACTAGGGAGAGGTTTTCACACCCTTATGAAGGGTGTTTCATTTTCTTCCCCAATCGATGTAAGATCTCACAATCCACCCCTTTCAAGGTCGAGCGTCCTCGCTGGCACTCATTCATTTCTCCAATCGATGTGGGACCCCCACCAAATTCACCCCTTTGGGGCCAACATCCTTGCGGGCACATTGCTTGATGTCCACTCCCTTTGGGGCTCAACCTCTTCACTAGCACATCGTCTGGTGTCTGGCTTTGATACCATTTGTAACAACCCATTGTCCTCTTTAGGCTCTCTCTTATTCTCAAGGTTTTTAAAACGCCTCTCGTTCTCTTTCCCAACTGATGTGGGATCTCACACATCTTGGTTTAAGTGTTGTGGTGTGCTGTGCAATTGAATGGTCAAGTTTGGCAGAAAAGTGTTCTATGGTTAGATGAGGAAAAAAAAGAAAAAATAGAAACATTCCTTTTTTAAGTTTGGAGTTTCAACCTGGAGGATCAGAGGATCTAAAATCTCTAATTTAGAGAATATGTACGAAATTGTGTCCAATACCTCATATGCTTGAATATGCCGATTGTCTATACATTAATATCTTACATTCCTGATTGACAGTGGAACAGCTCTGCATACATTACGGCTACCAAGAAGTGAAATAACGAATTCCATTGTAGAACAGGTTGCCGAGAGGTTTTCTGCTGTAACTTTTTTGGATTTAAGCTTTTGTAAAAACATTGGAGCATCGGCTCTCGAGGCGATTGGGAAACATTGTGCGAACCTCACAGGGTTGCGCAGAGTTATGTGCCCATTTGAAGCCCTTGACAAGTCTTCTCAAGATGATGAGGCCCTTGCAGTTGCATCGACAATGCATAAGCTCAAGCACCTTGAGATTGCGTATTTGCTTATCAACACTGAATCGGTTCTAAGAATCCTCGAGAACTGCCCAGATCTTGAGCTTTTAGATGTGCAAGGGTGTTGGAATGTGATACCAGATGAGACGTTCAAAAAGTTTTCAAGGGTGAAATTGGTCGGTCCATTGGAAGAAATCTCAGAGTCGAACAGATGGGATGATTTTGATTGCTCAAATTACTCAAGTTCTTCTGGCTACTTGGCGTGGGATTTTGTGGCTGATGAATTAGATGATGAATTTGAAATGCTGGAGTTTTTTGGAGAAGATTATAGAAGTGTGGATGATATGGACCATGCTTATTCTGATTCATCTGCGGGGTCTCCTTGAATGTTGCTCCTACGCCTGGCTTTGAAATGGTGAACCTTTTGTTTCACTTAAGTTAACCAAATAATAGAGCCCTTGAAATTGGGTTAGCTTTATGGTTGGTTAAACTATGATCATATGAATACTTTTAGCCTTATTAGTAACTCTGTAGATTAGAAATGGCGTCCATTGAAGTCAGTAAGAGATATCCAAATGCAGGTACAAAAGGCAGCACCATTGAAGTTGACCCGAGTTACCTGACCATCGACTTGGTTCGGGCTGATCGAAATTGATGGCTTCCATTGCAGCTGGTAATGTCATCCGGTTGGTTTGTGGGAATATGTCTCTAGGTTTGTGAATGTATGGCAATGATTTTTTCTAACCTTGTTGAGGGTGAAATTATCTTCTTACCATAGGTTAGAAAAGCATGATATGCCTAGAAAGTTTCTTCCTCCTCTCTCTCACATTTGTCTCTCTCTCGTTAACTTAAGCAGGATGAACATTGTATGATCCAAATTGAAGGCCGACATGATCGTTTCTGAGTACAGTAGTAGTCAAATGAGCTTGTATCAGAACATTTTGTTCAATTATAATGAATACAAACGAAGAAACAATCATTTTTGTCTTCAATTTGGATTACACAAGGTTTATGTTCAATATTTTCAACTTTTTATGTTTGTCCCCATGTTGGGTGAGAGGGTAGAGAGAGAGAAAGAGAAGTAGGAGAAGGTAGAAAGAGGAGCGAGAAAAAAGATAGAAGTGAGAGAGAAAGAGAAGAAAAATGTTGAAGATACAAGGAAGATCAATAGCAAGTTTCTATCCGATTCCTGAACCTGCTGTTCTTTGTGGGAGTCTGGGTCGTGTCCCAGTTCCAATGTGGCTGATTATCTACCTTTAAGTGTCGATTTTCATTTAGGTCGGCTCCAAGGCTCTACCCTAGAAGTGAGAGAGAAAAAGAAGAAAAATGTTTAGCTCAAGACGAATAAGAAAAAAGTCCGAACATGAAACATTTTTAATTTTGATTGTAGAATAATTCTTTTACCTTTTTACCAAATTCATTGATTCAAATAAATTTCAATATTTTTAATTTTGATTTTGGTCTCCTACGTATTAATCTCATGGTCTATGAATAAATGTTTTTAGAATAATAATAATTACCATTATATTATAAACATTATAATCAAAATATTAAATTCTAAATTAAAAAATAAACATAGATTAAAATAAATTATGTGCCAGTATATGTATTCCAAATATTACATTTGTAACAGATGAAATAATAGTTTTTTTTTTCTTTTTTGAGTGAACAATAAAAACATCAACTTATCATCAATTTTAAATCCAAAAAATTATTATTAATAAAGAAAAATATCGAAAGGCACAAAAGTCTTTTTCATTCACAAACCAAAATCCGTGTTTGAGAAGATTTGTTTTACATGTCAATAACCTAATAGACAAAAAAATATATATAATATAATAATAATAATAATTCTATTATAATTCTTTAAACTTTAACGAACTCTTACCATAAACACAAAATTAAAAGTTCAAGATTGTTTGGACTTTTGAAAGTTTGGAAACTAAGCTCAAAATAGAATTTACCCTAAATGAGGTCGGTTCGAGTTTGCATGTGTTTATCTAAATTAAGTCGAAGATATGAAAGCATGTGAACTCAACACGATCCCCTTGAAATCTATTTCCATTTGTGCACAAGCTAAGTACATGATCAGAATTTTCATCTTTCTTATAAAACGTTGTTTAAATAGCAATTTCAACATCTTCAAACACTCATAAAGCTACAATATTGGTTGAGAGCGTATCTGATTGGATCAAGCAGATTTCTCAGCTGCTTCAGCTGCTTCTTCTTCCTCTCGCAACTTCTTCAGAGATGGAGGTGGTCTGACCACAATACTTTTCTTCCACTTTCTATCTAACTTTCTTGACAACCTTTTGCCCACTCCCTCTTCAATCTCTCTTTCACGTTTTACGGTTAGCATCCGAGCAATCTGTCATCGGACAAACAATAACAAATTAACGGTTCAAGATTCCAAGTTTCGTGGAGTATGAGATACGAAATTGAAGTTGTTAGCAAGTCCAAAACATTGGTTGTATAGCCGTGATGTTGCAATCTTAAAGTAGGTGAAAATAAATTGTAAGAATGATATAAACTTCCCAACTGTCCTGCATCAGCAATACTGAATAGATATTAGTTGATCTCGCAATATTGAGTCGTTGAAACGTTGTTAGGCACCGAGTTTATTGAGAATTGAGATCATCAAGCACCATTCCTTTGTTCATGACCCATACCACTAATCTCCAAGGAGGCTTTGTCTACTTCAAAGCAGGTAAAATTATTCGGTGAAGCAGCCACAATGTGGCTGAAAGTTTTTTCCCATTCGATGTAAGGAAATACCTTGAATTTATATCATCTACTGGCTGCTACGAAGCATGCAAACTATTAAATCTACATGCAATCATGTTGGTGGCGGCCTCATTGAATAATTTTTTTTTTCCAAAGTGGGCATTTGAGGCAAAATCCAAGTACTAAGTTACCTAGTTAGAGGCTTTGAACCAAGACTTTAGAGGGTGACTACAGAGATCTCAAGACCTTATCATGAAGCCGTGGGATTAGACCAGAGATGCAAGAAGTTTGCAACCTAAATGTCAGACTTGACACCATAAAACTATGGGAATGGGCAATTATTACCACAATTACAGTGCAGAACATCCCTCCATCACAATCATATGTGAATTCTAGAGAAAACGACAGTCTTACTAAACTCATAATGTTTAAATAAATTTTTACCATTCAACAACATCTCATTTATGAGATCTCATAATCGATTGGAGAGAGGAACGAGTGCCAGCGAAGACGTTGGGCCACGAAGGTGAGTGGATTGTGAGATTCCACATCGGTTGGGGAAGAGAACGAATCATTTTTTATAATGGCGTGGAAACCTCCCCTAGCAGACGCGTTTCAAAAACCTTGAGGAGAAGTTCGAAAGGGGAAACCCAACGAGGACAATATCTACTAGGGGTAGACTTAGTGGACTTGGGCTGTTACATCATCATTTCAGTACTTTGTTCAGTGCAACAGTAAGAGGCCCATAAGACAATTCCAATATCCAGATTAAGCACCAAGCATGCAGAAGTTTTGGTATAGAAGTCATGAGAAGGCTACATATGGTTCAAATGCAAAACCCTCTCTCTTATGCATTAGACATTGTGATCCTTCCATGATCAAAATAGGTTTGGCCTCTCCAATTAACCAACTTCATATGAAAAAGATACGTTAATCTGAACCCAAACTGAATCAAGATTTCCACATGTATGGCTCATTCATGCATCAGGCATTCTGGGAATCTTAAACAAAATGTTAGCATGAAGACATTCAAGAGTTTTTAGAACATAATACCGCTAATCATATCGAAAATGTAAAATCCACAAGTGCTATTTCTAATAGTTTTATTTGGAGTCAATCTTAGTTCAATATGAAGTTGTTAGTGTTAAAAATCCTACTTTCAATTACATTTTCTGATTCTGATTGGATTTCTACGTTCCAGAGCACATTCTAATTGGCTCTATCTTCCTCTAAATGCAACTTTTGAAACTTTCTCCCAACATAGTGAAATATTGTTATAGTTCATCTCTCTAGACTGTCAACTCAAATCTAAATCCTAAATTGATTCTTACAAAAATGTATAGTTCTAGAACTATTTTAGTCTGCAGATTTTATCTATTTCTACACTTCTTCTCTTTTGGCGGCAAACAATCGCCAATAATTTTAGATCCCAACAGCTACAAATCCCCAATAAAAACCAATGAGCTCTTAACTTGAATCCTACCAATAAATCTTGCACAGATAAGCAAAAAAGTGGAGGATAGGAGACAGTAAAACGTACAAGTTTGAGACGAACATAATAGCCACATTTCAATTGAACTCAAAATTAATTAAGAATCCATCGACGAGGGAAAAGAAGTACCCGTTTGCGCATGCGGCGGAATTCGCTAGACTTAAACTCATTGCGGGCTGATTTTTGAAGTCGAAGCATAAGAAGTTCACCTTTGAGATCGACGACCTCTTCGTTTATTTCCTCAGTAGTTTTCGCCCTGATATCTTTCAACTCCTCCTCCCTCTTGGCCATCATTACCACCGGCGAATTGCGGCCTCCGATACATGCTGCTTTAGGAGGAACGCGAAACGAAAATGGGAAACGGATTTGAAGGCCATTGAAGGATGATTTGGAGGTCGAGCTAAGAAACTTTGCAGGTATAGCAACGCTCGAAGGCGAAGCAATTGAAAGGTTTATCATGTTCAGAGTGTGTTCGTAGAGTTCGCTCAGTCACAGCGCTTCAGTTCGAAGAAGAAGCCCAGCTGCGATTCAAGAGGAAGATAAGCTCTCGCCCCTTCTATTATTGTTATTTTAGATTTTAAGGGTATTTGTAATAATTTAATTTTTTAAATTTTAAAATAGAGCTATTTAGCCTTTATATTTTTTTTAAATCAAAATAAAGTGTAAATTTAATGCAATAACTATTTATTGCATTTATTTTTTAACTATTTTATTGATTTTATTGATTTTTATAGATTAAAAAAAAGCGGGTATGTTTTAAAATATATATATATATTTTATAAATTAGAGACGTCTCGTCGATGAAATCTCTAAGTCACGTAAAACATCAAATAAATGCATCAATTTACATCGAATAAATGCATAAAAACTGTACGTTTAGGTAAATCCCCTAGAGGTAACAAGATTATACCATGGACACGAAAATTATGTTGCTCGCCAAATATGATAAATAATAGCACACTAAGTCATTGTCGAGACCTTTCACCTTAGGCAATTGCATGCACTAACCTAAAAATATATGATCGATCATATGGGAGCAATCACCCTATAAATAGCACATCTTCTTAAGTAGCGCCGTTAGAGGGGCAAACGAGGGTTAAACCAAACAAAACAATAATGGTCATTCCCTATTGAAAATCTAATCAAGGTATAACCCTCCAACTATCCAAATATGACTTCCACCTAGGCGACTCACGAGGAACCTGATCAATTAGGATAAACCCTAAGAGCTTCTTGATAACAATACAACAAGAGACAAACATTCAACCGAGCAATTTTATCATTCCCTCTCCTACTTACTAGCTTCTCATTCCAAAGCTAGGAGCAAAGTTCACGAACTAAACCACGAACAATTCGCACCAAAATAACAAAAAGAATATAGATCCAATAGAGCTCGAAACTCTAGAGAGCATATCGAATAAATTGTAATCGACCAGCATAAGATAGCAACCCAGAAGACCAACTTCTTACACAAGCAGTAACTCTATTCAAAGAGAGGTAAACAATCAACATATAATAACCTTCTCGAAAAGGTAAACGAAACCATGAACGTTAGAAACCCATTAACATTTAGAATCGTTGAAATTCGAACATCTAATTGGTCGATATCGGTGGATAGGTGGAAATAGATTATCATTTTGTTTGAGTATCAAACCAAAGGGTGGGGGATGTAAGGAAATGGGCCAAGTTATTAGAGGAGCGCTTAGCAAAACGAATAGCGAAAGAAGATCTATGAAACCCAAAGCCCGAAAAGATTTATGAAGACATTAGGACGAAGAACCTTGAAATTAGCAGGAAACGAACTCCATTACAGACAGCCTTCAAGCAAAGGGAGTTTGCAGCCAAAACCAAAGTATTCGAGTCTGGACGAGCAAATCCGGCGCTGTTCTTATGGCCGAATGATCGATCTCCAGGAAAGTTTTTGTAAACCCGATTCAATTTTGATTGTTGGAGTTTAGTTCGATCCACGTGGCTTTCTAAATGTTGTTATCTCCATCCATTCTTTAAACTTTCTTCCCTGATTCAACGAAACCCTCGTTGCATCTCCCTTCACTTGACGAACACAAAAACCCTAGAAATTCATTTCTACCACGGAATCCGGGAGCCTGTCAAGCCAGAGATTCGTTTTTATTATATGGCCGCCAATTTCCTCATTAAGATCTGAGTCGCCTTTGATTCTTTGATTTCCACACGCGGATGGGTGCTACGGGCTCAAAGCTCGAGAAGGCTCTCGGTGACCAGTTCCCTGAAGGCGAGCGCTACTTCGGCCTTGAAAATTTTGGCAATACTTGCTACTGTAACAGCGTCTTGCAGGTTTGCTACTTCTTTGTTTTACGGGATGCATGATGATTGTCGCTTGAATTTTATTTTTCTGTTTCCTAGGATCTTCGTTGGTTTATTGCTAGGGTTTTGTTTTCTTTATCGATTCATCCGTTGCGTGCGTTAGTTTCACGGCTTGGATTCCCGAGGCTTTGCTGTATGCGTTTTCTTTGATTTTAATAATTATTCATTTGTTTGAATAATGATCGTGGTGGTAACATTCTTCATCAATCAGCTAATTGCATTTCTAGCATGTTTTACGAAATGCACACTTCAATAATACAAATGCAGATTCTTTAGTTTGACGTTTGGTCCTTCTCCATTTTTTTTGTAATTTCGTTCCGTCTCTGAAATTCTCGGTTATATATATGAACATTTGCATGCAGCATGCTTATGTTGTTCAAAGTGTTTACAATCGGATATACTCAATTTTGAGAAGCTGACTCATCATATCATGTTTTGATTTTCTTACGAACGTGTATGCCACTTACGTCTTCCAACTGATTTTTTTTTAGATGTATTTTATGGTCCCCCGGTGTTGTTCCTGTCAGAGTAGCATTAGTTTTGTTTTTTGTGTCCTTTTTAGGATTAGAGTTCCCCCCTGGCTATTCTTGCAAATGGTTGATTATTCATGGATTAGACGGATCATCATCCTGGATGAACTACAGTAACTTTTACTTGAAAATTTATGGACGCCAAAATTTTCTTTTGTACTTGTAGTGATTTAATATCATGCTGTTAACTTGTGTGAATTCAGTTTTTCAAATGTCGGTATGTTCATGGTGAAAAGCAGAAAAATGAGCGTGTTTTGATTTTTACATTTTCAAGGAAAAGTACGTCATTTATTCAGAATTTTAGATCCAATAATGGGATACTTAGGAGTCTTAACCATAGATGGTATTTATGTTCTTGACTTCTACAAGTTTCCGTAGTTTACTGGCATGTCAGATGACATGTTCACGTTGGATCCCTTATAGCTGTAAATCTTTTATGGTCAAAGAAATATTTTGTTTAAAACTTATTATAAAAGCATCTTCTCAATGTCCAGCTCGATATTTTCTTTGATTTGTTAAGTAACTCTCTGAAATCGTCAATCGTATCTTACTCACCATTTGCTTTAATATTCAGGCACTGTATTTTTGTGTTCCTTTTCGTGAGCAATTGTTAGATTATTACTCAAATAGCAAAAGTATTGGAGACGCGGAAGAAAATCTCTTAACATGCTTAGCAGATTTGTTCACCCAGGTAATTTTATGGGGGAAGAAAGTGTGTCTATTTTATTTGGGTTCATTGCTCATCCTTACCCGACAGGATTTGTATTTTTTCTGCTTTGTTGTGGCTTTATGGTTTATGTTTGTGGATATTATTGCACATAGACTTTACAAATCTAAACCTAGCATAGGAGATATTGGTTCTTAGAGAATACTGATGATTATGTTTGAAGAACTTTTATTATATATTTGTTTTATTCAGAATAAGCTTCTTCTTGAATTACTTTTCATGCTCGTTTCAAGACTTTTTCACGGGATAGTTAAGAATTTGTATGAAATTTCAACTTCAAACCACATTCCTATGTTACTAAAAAGTAGACAGTACGGTGTTTGTTTAATTATATTTGTTACTTGTAAAAGTAAAGAGTAGGAGGTTAACAATTCTGTTGTTACAAGATTTATTGCAAGTCTATGAGTATTAAAAGTTTTATAGCTATATAGACTTTGGATGAGGTTCTTATTGCTTATTAGGCTGATTGGAAGGATTTTTTTTGGAAAATTCACTTTGAAATCCTCAGCATTAGAATGGTGGGGTTCGTTAAAAAAAAAAAACATTACATTGATGGGGGCTATTTTTGGAAAATGTCTTATGAAAGAAGGGACTTGAGTTCAAGTGGAGATCTTGGGTTTGGAATGAGTTATTTACACTATGTTAGTTAATGGGAAACGTAGGAGAAGAATCTTTAGTGAGCTTAGTTGTTTTTAAAGCTCAAGGTGCATCCTCCGGGGCTCAAGTGCTAGGTGAAGATAAAAAGAGCGTGATTTTAGGTGAGATGCAAAAAAATACATAAGGTAAAGTATATAGACACCTTCATGGAAAGCAATGAGGTTTATTTGTTAGGGTCTCATACGAAAAATTGTAAATAGTTGAGAGGGAGGAAGAGAGACTAATTATTATAAACTGAGACTGAGAATGAAATGGAGAGAAGAGAGCGAAGTGAGAAGTGAAATGGAGAGGAAGATAAGAATCAATTGGGGAGAGAGAACCCTAGTTCCAGTTATTCTTTACCTCTCTATTAGAGATGTTGAATAGGGGTAAAACAAAAAAGAGCTGATGTTGTGAGTCGTATACGTATACATGTATTTTCTTCCACTTCAGGTCATTGGCCATGTCTTCTTGGAGAATTCTATACAGACTGCACTTAACAAATTGATTAAAATTGTCTTTAGATTTCTAGCATATTCTTTTGTGAATCCTCTCTAAAGTTTCATGTTTCTATTCTATTTGATTTTCAAGATATATCGTTCTCCTTATGACCATAAAGAACTCTGTCCACGGTTAGGTTGGAATATAATCATTTATTCACCTCTGATTGCAGATAAGTTCACAAAAGAAAAAAACTGGTGTCATTGCTCCAAAGCGCTTTGTTCAGAGATTGAAAAAGCAGAATGAGATTTTCCGTAGCTATATGCACCAAGTACGTTATGAATTTTGTTTCTGAATGTCCCCACTTTGATTCTTACATTAACAGGGACTCATTTCCATATGAAAAATGATATTTTTATTCTCATTCATCGAGTCAATATTGTAATTAATTAAACCAAGGTGTTCAAATTTCACCTACCTTTATTTCTTTTATTTGGCAACTGCTGATGCAGGATGCTCATGAATTTTTGAACTTTTTGCTCAACGAACTTGTTGACATACTGGAGAAAGAGGCACATGCTACTAAAAGTGATGCAGAAAGTTCGTCACCGCTTGAAATAATCTCAAATGGTCCTAAAACTGGTCAGACAAATGGTGCTCAAAAAGAGCCGTTGGTGACTTGGGTGCATAAAAATTTTCAGGTGATTTAGTCAGCCATTTTGATAGCATACACCCTATCCAACTCAGTTTTCTCTTTCTTCTCTGCTATAGGGAAGGGAAAATATATGTTGCTGAGAAATATTAATGAGATAAATGCTATTTCAGCCTTCCTGTGTCTGCATGTCTGCACGCCTTTGCTTGCTAGCTAGTACATCAAAAATATTTTAAAGACAGCTATTTATGTAGATGAAATTAACTTAGGTTTTCGTTGGTTTTTTGTATTAGTGAAAGCCCCATAGGTCAATCTAGTACGGCGCACTTGCTCTTTCAGCCCAACTCCTCCCTTCTTAGAGAATATAAGAGAATTACTTTGTTCTGACCTTCAAAAGAGAATTGGAAGCGTACTTGTAGGCTCACCTGGCTATCTGGATGGTTCTTTTAATTAATGCATTCTAGAAAGTATATGACATTTGATTCTAAGTAAATTTGTTATTAAAGACTTTACTGTTTTTTTATGAGAATTAAAGACTTCGCTATCAAAGTATAAAAGAGTCTATTACGAAGTGTGGAAAACATCAATATTCTTTCAAGCAAACCACAAAGTCTATTAAAGACCCAATCTTGAATACAAATGTGAAGCCCTTTCCAATAGAAGCCTATTTTCTAGGAGGATCCCTACAGAATTCTTCGTCCAGACCATGCCAAATTAGAGTTTGAGCCTTGAGAAGTAACTTTGTTCTGTGCATGAAAAACTTTGAATCTGTCTTTCAGGGTTTACTAACTAACGAGACAAGGTGTTTGCGGTGTGAGACAGTTACAGCAAGGGATGAGACTTTTCTTGACTTGAGCCTTGATATTGAACAGAACAGTTCAATAACTAGCTGTTTAAAAAATTTCAGTTCCACTGAGACATTGAATGCCGAGGACAAGTTTTTCTGCGACAAGTGCTGCAGGTAGGTCGATATACACTATTCTGCTTTGCTGTAGTTGCATTTTAGTTTAAGAATCGTCATTTATCTGAGGTTCTTTATGAAGGAAGTTTTCAAAGAAGCCAGTGTGCCGCTAATTTGATTCTAGCTTAGCAATGAAATCAAATTCTATTGCTGGCTCGTTGAATTCTTTACAACTTGATAATATGCCTTATTAAAAAAAGAAGATAATAGTCCTTATTCTAATTTTGTTTTGTCTTCATTATCTTCTCCGCAGCAAGCATACTGTGATTTGTGTGCATGGATCCATATTTTTATATTGGATGTGAATAATATAATAGTATAGTTAGTATGCTATTTTTATCAGAATATATTGAATTTGAATAATAGTATAGTCAGCACCTTCCCCCCGCCATAAGCATTAAAATTAAGGAACAAAAACCAAAAAAAGGGGTGCTGAAAGATGGACTCATTTTGGTTTGCAGTTTGCAAGAAGCACAGAAGAGGATGAAGATTAAGAAACCACCACATATCCTTGTTATTCATCTGAAGCGGTTTAAATACATTGAGCAGCTTGGACGCTACAAAAAGCTGTTGTACAGAGTTGTTTTCCCTCTCGAGCTGAAACTTAGCAACACAATGGAGGATGCGGATTCGGAGTACTCTTTGTTTGCAGTTGTCGTCCATGTTGGAAGTGGACCCAACCACGGACATTATGTTAGCCTTGTGAAAAGCCATAACCACTGGTTATTTTTTGACGACGAAAATGTGGAAATGATTGATGAGTCTGTCGTGCAGACATTCTTTGGATCTGCACAGGAATATTCTAGTAATACTGATCATGGGTACATCTTATTCTACGAGAGTATTGGCACCGGCAACAAGAGCTGATATATGGATAATTCCCCATCTCATCAGCCATCGGGTAATTTATAATTCGACTCTTCTTGTTGTTGTTGTTGTTTTTTCTTGGCTTCACATGTTTATTAATATTATTATTTCTTTTTCTTTTTCCCCCTTTGCCTTTTATAACACCATTGGAAAGAGCTGTGAAATATTACTGACTGATTGATGGTATGGGCTGTGAAAAATGTATACATGGTCGGTTGCCAGTTTGGCATATAATATAGTGTATGACGGCAGCTTTTCTTTTCCCCTTCCAATAAGAGAAAAGAGAGCAATGTATGATGTTTATGAATGCATGCTGCTTTAGAGGAAGGGCTATGCTGAATTCTGCTTCTGTTTCTAAATATGATTCTGATGCTGGAGATCCATTAACAAACAGTGCATTGAATTCCTCACTACAAATTCCGAGTATTAATGGTTCTAGTATACTTGCCTTGCCTGAATTTGTTGTTGATTTTGGAAAGGTGGGAATTTAGTGAATGAAATGATATGTTTGTACCTAAACTATTATTTTAATTTTTGTACAAACAGTTTTAATGGCTGTGTTTTTTAGAAGTGAAGACTTCTATTTCATCAATGGCAGCTGTTTTTTCATATGCCAAATCAAAAGAATAATTTAGTTCACAGTTAATTTGATGACTTCTGCTTGTTACATAAATAACCACTCTTCATAAGGGCTTTTTGTACTGACATCCAACCTCTAAATTATAATTTTCTAGAACAGAGAGGATACTGTTAGAGGGAAAAAGAGTGACATTATTTTACTATACACTAAAGTTAGAAGATGCATTAGGCAGGAAAGCATCTTCATCCAACAGGGCTTCAATGTCAATTAGATCATCAAAATCAGCTGTTTCATCTACCTTGTCTACAACCCCATCTTTCACCTGAACATCAAAAAAAAAAAAAAAACAAAAGACTATAGCCATTATCATAAAATTTTCATTCATCATTAAACAATTTTTCATACTTAACCTACAACAACATGCAGGTACATAAACATCTATTGATCATATAAATAATTTAAAAAAAAGATCATGCATCATCCTAAATCAAGAGGTTAGACGATTAAATATTCCACCTGCTCAACTATATAAAAATAATAAATAAATAATTAATGGATAAATAAAAACTCAAATTAACCATTGGAAAAGCAAGTTTTGGTAACCTTTGTTTGTCGCATCTCCGTGACAACATTTAACAGCCTGCGGTATTGATCCCTTGCCTCTGGATATTGCACCATAGACTTAACTCTAGCAAGAGCCTTCTGCAGCCTTTCTTCTGTCTGCTTTCTGCCTTTTTTAAAAAACTCGTCGTCGTCATCCTCTGTTACTGATGGATTTTGCTTGCTGGAGTCCTCAGAAAGTGCTTCTGCCTTAAATCCTCGTAACCCACTTCCTTTTCTTCTCCAACGCAAAATAACCTTCTCCAGAATTCCCACTGACCACACAATGTTCCTATAGTTCTTTCGGACCTGGTGGCCTCTTACATGGGCCTTTAAATGAAAAAATAACAGTTATTAACCAAACAGAAAAAGACTATAAGTTTCTATTTGATTCTTATTTTTAGGATTTAGTTGGTAGCTTGTATTCTATTTAAACGTTAGAAACATTAATGAAGATCGGACTTTTCAATCCCACCTCTATTTTTCATTCTTAATGCATCATTTTTAACCGTTTCAAAGATGAAAAATAATAAAAGAAAAGTTCAACGTACCTGAATTTTAACAATTCTCTGCTTGATTATTAGAAAATCTTTTCTGCCCTTCCAACTGCGGAACTTGTTTTGTATGCGAATGGCAGCAGCATGTTCATCATGTGATCCTGAATTACGTCTCTTAACTAGTAAAAGTGAAAGAGGCTGATAATTCGACAGGTCGAGCAATTGCTTTTTTTGGAAGGATTGCATCCTCATAACCTCATGAATACGCGCAGCAGCTTGAGTAGCATTGGATACGGCAGCTAATGAATCCTTGAGGGACAATGTATGCATATCATTGCCCTGGTGTGGAGTGGCGACACGCTCAGAAGCTGTATGTACTGCCTTTTCTCCACAAGTGTCAACAGCCTTGCTTTTTTTATTATCGAAGTTTAGAGATTCCAGGTGGGCGCTTAGGGCCGACTCTGCAAGATAACCAGCAATGCCTTTGTGCCCATTTGAGGATGCTAAACCTGCAGGAGTTCTGCCATATGGGTACTTGGGGTTTGGATCTGTTAATGCTCCTGGAGCTGCACCCAGAGAAATGAGGGCAGCAACTGTACGTTCTCTGATTCACACACATACACATACAAACGAAACAGAAAATGTTGATATTCGATGAAAGCTAAATCCACACAATCTATTGATCATTATAATCTGAGGACGTTATGACTATGCAGTTCAAAAATCAAAACCTATCAACTCCATAATATTTAGATGCAGTTCCTACTGATTTAGTTGGTAGGTGTCACTACCTAAACATCGAGTCCAATTCATGACACTATAAAATCCACCCAAAAGATAATGAGGAAGTTTGAATCTCTCTAAAAGGAATATATTTTTACAAAAAATCGCACAAGGTTTGAGAAAACCAAATGTTGAGTGATTGTTGTAGTCCCACGTTGATTAATTACGAAAAAAATCATGGGTATATAAGTAACGGACATTATCTATAATGGTATGATATTGTCTACTTTGAGCATAAGCGCTCGTGACTTTACTTTTGGTTTTCTCAAAAAGTCTCGTATTAATGGGGGATAGTATCTCTTACCTATATACCCATGATCTTACTCTTAATTAGCTAATATGAAACTCCAACAATCCTTCCTTTGAACAAAGTACATCATTGAGCCTCCCCTAACGACTTTTCTTCTTTGAAGCCCTCGAGCAAAGTACACTATTGAGTCTCCCTTTAAACAATCATCTATTCGTCTAGCATTATTCTAGACTACTCCTTTTTTCTGGAGTACATTGCTAGTCCAATAAAATTCTACCATGTATCTTCATTATGACTACACCTTCAAGGCTCACAACTTTTTTGTTCGACACCTGAGTCACTATCAATCTTCTTCTCGAACAAAGTACACCAATGAGTTTTCCCTTAAAGAGTCATCTATCTATCTAGCACCATTCTAGATGTCTCCTCTTCTTTGGAGCACATTGCTAGTCCAATAGAACTCTACCGTGTATCATGGCAGGGTTCTAGAGAAGCAGGAGTTATTAAGGGAGACTCAAGGGTGTGCTTTAGCCTGTTCCTCTTCTGTGCCAGTCACATTAACAAACTACTTTGTAATTTATGGGCAGATTGCTGGTATCTTGGGCCTCAATTGAACAGACTACATCATTGAATTTTGGAGTGGAGCACAATATCTTTTTCACTACTTTGATATCACTTTTGTTTTCACCATTAGCCTTCATCTTGTTCACAATTGTAAGTGTACGTGCGAAATAGCCGTTTACAGTCTCTCCGGCCTTCATGTAGAGTGTCTCAAATTCCTTCCTCATTGCTAGTAATTGAGCTCATTTAACCCTAGTTGAACCGTGATATTTCTTCTTCATAGAGTCTCATATATTTTTGGATGTGTCTTTCGTGAGAATCGTTTTAAGAATGGAACAATCCAATGCCTAAAAATGATAATTCTTCGCTTTCATGTCCTTGAGCTTCTACACATCAAGTTGATGCTGTTGTGCCTCTGTCAGTGTCATTTCAAAATGTACAATTGGAGTTACTATTTCCATCAAACTCCAACATTCTTTTGAACATAGAAAATTTTCCATCAACATTGTCCAATGATCGTAGTGGCCATCGAACTTAGGAATTGAAGGTTGCACAAATGTATTTTCTTTAATAGAATAGCTAGCCTCCACAATGACACTATCCCTATATTTTCTCTGATAGAAGAACATTGCCCAATGACCGTAGTGATCATCGAACTTAGTTCGAGGAAGTATTAAACGAAGCAAGTTTCAAAGAAACTGCAAAACTGATGAACATTTTAACTTTGTGACGTCTAGAAAAACATTCGCTTTTGGTCTTCTTTTTTTTTTTTTTTTGTAGAGCATAGATTTTAGTATCTATTTTGATTTTGCCCGTTTCTTTTTCACGTTCTCCTTTCAAAGTTTGTATTGACAAGTATTTACATATACACAATCCAAATTCTTCTCCTTACTCAAGTTGCATCCCTATAGCAGCAAAACCAAAGCATCAAATTCTTCTATCAAATTATCAGTTCCTTACTTTTCTTAAAAAAAAAAAAAAGATGCCAAAAATAATACTTTGTCAGCAATAAGGACTTTTTAGAATTCCTGTACAAGTAAAGTAATGAAAGACGAGTAGAAGCAGCAAAACCAGTTAAAGGTGTTTACCTGCCAAAGAATGCAGCCCAATGTAGTGCTGTCCATCCATTTGCATCACGAAAATTGACGTTTATACCAGCAACGACTGCCGGTAGAAGGGCCCAATCATAGTTAAGTGCAGCAGCAAAATGTAGCACACCTAGACCATGCTCATCTAGTACGCTAGGGCCTCTCCCACCTTCCCTTACTTTCTGCAATAGCCATACGTGTAACTTCTCTTTAAGTAGCCTTTGAAGCAGCAACTCTTTTGTGCTTCCGAGGGAAACATTCTCATCCCACCTAGGCTTCATGAACTGATCCCATTCACTATTGTCAACTTTTAGCAATTCACGGACTTTATTAAAGCCTGATCTGTCACTAGAGCTGTTGGGATCAGCAATCAAAGTATCTGAACAGCTCAGACATAGCAATTTTACGAAACGCAAAGCAAATGCTTCGTTTGTGATGCTAGTATCGTACATAACTTCCGCATCTTGAATGCACTTAACTCGGTATTCAAAGTTTTGCACTTCACTACAAGCTAATCTATTGGAACGTGTAACATAAAAGGGAACCTTCCCAGCCTTGTGTATGGGAGTAAAACATCGCAATACACCATTTGCTATAACTTCCGCTGGTACTTCCACCTCGCCAAACATGCAAGACCATTTAAGATTTTCCACTTCTTGTTGACTCTTCAAGAATTTCCCTGATATCAAAACCTATAAAACAGGCCTATCAAATGATTGGGGAAAGAAAAGGAAAACCTATCTAATTCTAACGTATAATATGGACCTGAGATATTGATAACTCTATTGGATTCCATCTCTATAAATAACTTGATTTACAAGAAGATATCAGATTTGTTTAGCTTTGTAGTACCTTGATTTCAGAACCTTCATATGCCCAGCTTGGTGAAAAATCAATAATGCTGAAGAGCTGTTCATGGGAGAGGGAACGGCTGAACATGTATGTATCCAGATGCGCTTGAGAAGAGATGCTGGAATTACCAACCTCATTTTCTACACTATTCCAGTGTGCTCCAGAATTGCACTGCATGCTTGCCTCCTTCACATCTCTTAGTTCTCTGCTCATCCATTGATTAAAACTATCACTCTTCCTCAAAGATTCAGTAGCAACAGCATTCAATAAAAGCTGTTTTTTTGACTTGGATTTCCCCTCCAATATCGCCTGTCCATCAGAAATTGAGTTTGGGTAATAATCGTGCTTTGTATTTGAAAGCACTTTTTGGAAGTATTCTTATATTGACTGATCATTTTGCATCTCTGGATCCATTTGGGTGGCTGATGATATGATTTGAAATTCTTTAAACAAAATTTGAAACAGGAACCCAAAGGGAGAGGAGAACAAAAGTCAGTATAGTTTATCAATGTTATCAAATTGTTTTCAAAACAAAAGCATGAAAATATTTCATGGTTCGAGTGACAATATGATCGAAAGTTCTTGGAATAGCAGAAGCTTCACAGTCATATTGGCGAAAAATACCTAATTAATGTTTTTTCTTTTTCCTTTTTTTCTTTTTTAATAAGAAACAGAACATCCGTTGAGAAAAAAAAAAATGAAAGAATAAAAGTCATTATGAAAAAAAACCCCACAAAAGAGCCCAATTGGAAAAATGGACTCCAATGCATTACAATGAGACTTAACAAATACTTTTGAAAAAACTTCATCATCGACAGCCTAAGAGAAATATAGAACTTGACAAGGAACCAACGTCACTGAGGCTTCATATCATTTAGGATGAAATTATCTTGATTTAGAGGTTTTAGCATTTGTGATCTAGGGGTTTGCATATCTATAAGGGTTTGTAGATCTAATTGATTAGGGTTTTCATATGAGACGTATTCATACCTTTCTTCAATAATTTATAGAGAAAGAATGAAGGCATCAGATTTAATCCTATTGGCATGCAGCAGCAACAAATATCGATTGATGAATATGAAGCACTAGCGTCTATGAAGGACCTGGTCACATGCTTATAGGCCAGATGATTTCACAAGGAAATTCCTTGAAGAGTTTTGAAATGTTCTCAAATTAGACATTATAGAAGTACTTCATGAATGATTTCACAATGGTCCTCTAACTTTCTTTTAATTCTTTGAGTTGTGATTCTTCCTCTTCCAAACACTTGCGTCAACTCAAAGTGGGAACAAAGTTTTCTCCTACACTCTAGTCAACCATGTTGTAGCTTTTCCATTGGTACCCCTTTCGTCAGTCTTCCATTCTTTTGTGTTCCTTTTTTATAAGAATATAGTATTTTGGATTTTAATCCCACTCGATGTTTTGAAATACTAGTCAAACATGTTGTAGCTTTTCCAATGGTACCCTTTTAGTTCGTCTTCACTTTTTTTGTATAATTTTTGACGGGTACAGTATTTTGGATTTTACTCCTATTCGATGTTTTGAAATACATGCATAGGCAGAAGGTATCCATTTCTAGGGCATATGACTAGAAAGTATTTTGTTCCGTTTTTCTACTTCAAGATCTGTGAAATAAATAATCAAATGCTAATACTACAAAGTACTTAATCCAGTGGTACCCTTTTGAAGCATTATTCCGTCTAATACATGGAAGATTTTTGATAGTTATACTTCGAAAATTACCGAATAAGTTACAAGAAAACTAACCTCACAATCTTCCTGGGCAAGCAGGTGATTGCCAAAATCTTCCCTTTTACATCTATCAGAGAAGGGCAGCCCCATTATCTCATCACCTTGTTTTGGAACATTGTCTAAAATTTTAGATCGAGATGTAGAAAATGATGGCTGCAGATGGGGTGAATATATTCCAGTAGCACCACTTTTCAAGACATTATCAGAAGAGAGGCAAAGGTTCTTGTGGGGCTCATGAATTGATTCAGCATGATTGCTGTCTTTACTTCTATCTGATGATGTCGGAAAGCCATTCCCACCAAAGGCTGTAAAGTTTTCTTGATAATTATCGGACGACAATTCAATGTATTACCATTAGTTGATAGACTGTTACTTTTTTTCCAGAGAAAAAGAATCAAGGAAAAGTAATGAGCTGTCTACCTGATAATGGTGCAGGATAGTTTGGATCACAGGGCTCACCACTAGTACTTTCCTTGTTAGACCGTTGTAATCCAAGAAATGAATGGAAAACATTACTTTCTCGGTTACCATATTCTGCAAAAGAAATAATGTTAACCAGTAGAACATTGTTAAAGCAATGATAAATATACCCAAGCAATGATTTCAATTCTGGGCTGTGGTTGATTAAGAGTTCATATACAATACAAGCACCTGATTCAGCATCTTCATATTCTGATACCTGCGTACTGTTCAGGCTAATATCAGTAGTTTGTGAAAGTATTTGATAATTAGATGGATGAAACCTACAGGACTTAGAAGCGTCCATTCCTGAATGGCTCGTAGTTTCTTCAGATTCTCGAGAAAAGAGAGCAGCTTCATCAGTCCCCTGAATACGATTGAAATTTGCTCTACTGCTCTGATGACATTTCAGCAAACTCGAGGTCAATATAAGCACCGAACAAAAGACAACATTTGAGAGGGAAAATATTTTTTTTAATGAGGCAAAAGCATCGGAGGGGTAAGAAAAAGTATAAGGTGGGAAAGTGAGTTATTCCTTCAAATCTATGACGATAGTAGAGTTCTATTCGGCTGTAAGAATTTATAGAAGAAAAATTATGTCAAGATGAAGTGCTTGTCAATCCTCACCTTCATCAAAGTGGTCGAATTCGTTGGCAAGCAATTTTTCTTCACTACTATTTGGAGCATTTTACAGAGAAAATTGATCATTTTCTCAAGGGTTTAGAGGAAGTCTTAGATGAGGTTTTGAGTGTGATTTACTTCAATGTCTTCTTTTGATGTCCTCTTGAAATTCGTTTGTAATTATCCTTTATAGTGTATTCTTTTGGATTGGAGTTTGTTGTGATAGCTAGTTGAGAACTCCTTTTGCAGGCATTTTTTTCTGTACGCCCTTACCCAAAAAAAACATATATTGTACTCTAAACAACTATATCAATTTTTGTTATTGTTTCAATTTTGTCCTTCCCTCCCTCAACCCTCGCAATTACGCACTTTATTGATATATAGATTGGGCTAGTTACTCCAATGACAGAAGCAGAGTATGCCAGACATTGTAACTTTACGGACAACAATTTAATTCTTTCCTAATCTAATCAAAATGTCTCAATGTCTAAGAATGAATTCAAATATAAGGATTGGCGAAAGAAGGACTAAACGTATAGGGAATGAATCTTTCCTTTATGAACTTAATTTTTCTCCGTCTTCTGCACCCACTCTGCTCTGCGACAATGTAACTTGCATTGCTGCAAATAATTATGCATCAAAGAACCGAGCATTTTGAGATTGAACATGATTTTATTCCCAGTTAAGAAGCTCAACTAAGGGTTGTCAATAAGAAGATGTCCCCTCTAAAGATCAACTTGAAGTTGCAGCAGATATCATGACCAATAGACTTCCAACTTAAATGTTTCTTAATTGAACCAAGCTCACCATCCTTAATAAGCCCGTTAGCTCACGCTTACGGGATATTAGATAGTATTCTCAAATTGATTTTCCCCTCGTCTTTTCGTTTCACTCTTATGTATACAACTCGGTTCTCAGTTCTTTTTTTTTTGGGTGATAAAACTTGGTCCTCACAGTTGAATTGCATAGAGGTTACTATTTTTTTCCTCTTAAACTTGCTGACACGTATGCATGCTGTCATCATTTTTTGTCCATTTAATCAAACTCACTCGTTGAGCTAGTGCACTAAGTTCAGAGTTCCAATTACGTAAACCTTCTAAACCCTTTTAATTTCCTCTATCCATTCACTCTAAATGTACTCACAGCACCAATGAACGGAATTACACAAAGAGACACCAAGATAATTTGTTGATCTCAAGTGTAATTTTATTAATTCTAAGTATGACATTATATAGCCTTTACAATCATGGTTAAAGAATAGGACTAATCAGTCCTAACGAATAGGACCTTATGACAATTTACAACCATCTCTACCTTGTCATAAGATCTCCAAGTTGATAACTGATTTGGTTGCTACCACATCAACACACTACTCCTTTCTTCTGACATTGATGAAATCCAAACAATGCCAGAACTTTTCACGAGCGATCACCTTTGTCTACATATCAGCAGGGTTATCAGCCGTTCCAATTTTTAATAAATGAATGTCCCCTTCACTAATTATTTCTCGAATAAAGTAAAAATGGACATCAATATGTTTAGTACGAGCATGATGGACTTGATTTTTTTGACAAACAAATAGCACTCTAGCTATCACAAAACACATCTATATGTTACTGCAAAATACCCAAGTCCTTGATCAAACCATGCATCTAAATAGCTTCTTTAAAAGCTTCCGTTACTGCCATATACTCTGCTTCGGTGGTAGACAATGCAACAGTAGACTGCAATGTTGAACGCCAATAAACAGATCCACCAGCCATAGTAAATAAATAACCTATAGTAGATCGTCGCTTATCTAAATCACCAGAATAATCAGAATCCACATAACCAACTACAAGGTTGTCAAGATTAAACATTTCTTGTTTTGAAACTTAATACCAACATCAATAGTACCAAGAATGTACCTAAGAATCCATTTGACAGCCTCTCAATGCTTTTTACCAGGATTATGCATATAACTACTCACCATTCTTACTATGTGTGAAAGATCAGGTCGAGTACATACCATAGCATACATCAAAGCACCAACAACATTTGTATAAGGAATATTCTCCATATACCTTTTGTCATCGTCAGAACTTGGACACATGGAAGCACTAAGCTTGAAATGAGGAGAAAGCGGAGTACCAACGGGTTTGGTTGAATTATTCAAACTAAATCTTGTCAATACCTTGCGTAGATATTGAGACTGAGTCAACTAGACTGTACCTTTTTTTCAATCTCGCTCTATCTCCATTCCAAGTATTTTCTTTGCATTGCCTAAGTCTTTCATTTCAAATGTTTTAGAAAGCTGATATTTGAGCTTATCAATCTCCACCAGTCTCTTTGAAGCAATTAACATATCATCAACATATAAGAGCAAATAGATAAACGATCCATCATCAAGACACCGATAATACACACAATGATCAAATTGACTATGAGTATACATATGCTCTACCATGAAATGATCAAAATTTTTATACCATTGGCGAGGAGATTGCTTCAGCTCATACAAAGATTTCTTCAATCTGCATACCAAATGTTGCTGTCCAACTACTCGAAAACCAACCGGTTGCGTCATATATATTTCTTCTTCCAAATCTCCATGCAAAAAAGCAGTTTTTACATCGAGTTGTACAAGCTCAAGATTAAATTGAACAACCAAAGCCAACAAAATTCGAGTGGAAGAATGTTTTACCACAAGTGAGAAAATTTCATTGTAATCAATACCTTCTTTTTTTGCATAGCCTTAGCCACAAGTCGAGCCTTATAACGTAGACCAGAAGAATCTTCTTTTTTTTACAAAAACCCATTTACAACCAATTTCCTTCTTACCTTTTGGAAGTTGTACCAAATCCCAAGTTTGATTTATCTCCAATGATGCTATCTCCTGATTCACAGCCTCTTGTCAGTGCAATCTATCCAGGCTCTGGATAGCATCTTTGTAGTTGTTGGAAACTCCATAATCAAAGGGAAAACATATGCTATCGTATCATCAAACCTTGCAGGTTTTCAAATTTCCCTTCGTGGTCTATTCCTGGTGATGGACTCAGGTTCCTCCATTCTTTCATTTACAAGGCTTTGCTCCTCTTGTTCTAAGACATCAGAGTTATTATCTACCTGATCAATCGATTCTTCAATAGGAGCAACCATATCATGAGAGAACACCACCTTCTCCACCTGCTTCAATGCCTCGTCATTATTTTCAATTTTTTGCAAAAACATTCCAGACTCATCGAATGTCACATCTCGACTATTAACAATCTTACTTGCTTCTGGACACTATAACATCGAATGTCCTTCACGCCTTTGCTAAAGCCCATAAACTTGGCTTTTTTTGCTCTAAGATCCAGCTTTAAGTCTGTCACATGATAATAAGCAGAACACCTAAACACATGCAATTTATCATAATCACTAATAGGAGTACCCGATCATATCTCAAGCGGAGTTTTCCCACCATTTCCAGAAACAGGTAAACGATTTACCAAGTGAACTGCATAACTGAGAGCCTCAGCCCAAAATGCCTTACTCAATCCTACTTGAGACAATATGCATCGAACCTTCTCTATTAATGTCTGGTTCATTCTCTCAGCAACTTCATTTTGTTGTGGATTACCAGGAACAGTGAAGTGTCGAACGATCCCTTCATCTCGGCATACTTTAAGGATGTGATCATAAGTATATTCTTCACCGTTGTCTGATCTCAGCTTTTTGATTTTCCTGTCCGTCTGATTCTCTACCATTTTCTTCCACTCTAGGAAGATTTGGAGAACCTCGTTTTCGTGTCTCATGGGATACATCCGAACTCTCCTCCAGTAGTCATCAATAAAGGTGACAAACCACCTCTTTCCTCTCAATGAGACCCCATAAATCAGTGTGAACATAATCCAAAATGTCCTTTGTTTGGTGTATAGTTGTACCAAACTTCACATTTTTTTGTTTACCAAATATACGATGTTCACAAAACTCAATTTACCAGTTGTGGCACCCTTAAGGACTCCTTGGTTCACCAATGTCTGAAGCGCCTTCTCACCAGCATGCCCAAGTCTCATATGCCATAATTTCGATATGTCTTGTTCTTTTGAACTTGCCACAGCAGCATGCCCAATTATTGTGGTTCCGTTGAGGTAGTATAGGCTACCTCTTCTAGTTCCTTTAATTGCCACCAAAGCTCCACGAGCTACTTTCAAATTCCCTCTTTCCAAAATGATGTGATAACCACTCGTATCCAAAACGCCAAGGAAAATCAAATTTTTCTTCAAGTCAAGGACATACCTTACATCATTGAGTTTTCGTATAACCCCGATTCCCATCATCTTGCAAGTACTATCATTGCCCATATAGACAACTCCACCATTGAACTCTTTGAAGTCCAAAAACATCTCTCCGTTGGGACACATATGATAGGAGCACCCAAAATCAAGAATTCATTCACTAGTTTGGCTGACTGATAAAGAGATCGTCAAGGAATTATCTGTATTAGTGTCGTCATCTCTAACCACATTGGACTTCGACCCCTTCTCTTTTAAGATCGGGCAATCTTTCTTCCAATGGCCTTTCTGTAAACGATATGCACATTCATTTTTATCAAGTTTTCTCCAATATCAGATCTACCTCTCGACTTTGATCAGGACTTTCCACGTTCGCTCTTTTTCCAAATAGAAGTCCTTCCACGAGCAGTAAGAACATTTGTGCTAGAGTCTTGATATGCCTCATTTTCCTTCTTTCGCACCTCATTATTCATTAAGGCATTTGGAACATCTTCAAAAACAAGATCAGTGAGTCCATGTAGTAGGGTGGTTACTAAAAACTCGTAGGATTCCGACAAAGAATTCAACAGCAACGCCTTGTCTTCGTCATTAATTGTAACATCTAGATTGAGCAAATCAGTGATGATTTTGTTAAAATCATCCAAATGCTCAGCCATTGAGATACCTTTCTTGTAGTCAAAACGGAAGAGTTTTTCTTCAAATAGAGTTTATTTTCCATGCTCTTCTCCATATATTTCGCCTCAAGTTTGTCCCATAATTCTTTCGCTATGGTAACCTTCATAAATGGATATTTCTGATCCTTGCCAAGATAGGATCGAATAATTCCACAAGCTTGTCGATTTAATTTCGTCCATTCGGCGTCTGTCATGTCTTCAGGTATCTCCTCTTGGAGAGAAGCATCAAGATCTTGCATGACCAGCAACTCGCTAACTTCGCCTCGCCAAACACCAAAATTATTGGTTCCATCAAATTTCTCTACTTCGAGATAAAAACACAATTCTTGAAAATTGATTTTCAAGAAAATAAGCACGATTGTGAGCACATCTAGTGGTCGATGAGGCCAAAACTTTCACAATACCCCAAATACCACAATCAAGCTCTGATACCACTTGTTGTGCGCCGAAAGCGGAACAAATGTACTCACAACACAAATGAACGGAATTACACAAAGAGACACCAAGATATTTTTCTTGATCTCAAGTGCATTTTATTAATTCTAAGCATATAGCCTTTACAATCATGGTTGAACCTAAAAATATCAGAAACTTAAAAGTCCCAAAGAATAGAACTAATCCGTCCTAAAGAATAAAACCTTATGACAATTTACAACACTACCTGCAAAATAGTCAACACACCCAAGAACCATAAAACTACCTCTACCCCCATTCAGAAAGGGGGAAGCTAATGTGCAAGATCAATTCCAAAAATCTACATGCAGGTAAACAACGTAAGAAAATCACACTTACGCTCCTCAGCCCTGTCCGTACATGAATTCATTGAATCATCACTACTTGTTGGTACTCATAAAATGCAGCAAAGATATTTTTTTTTCATAGAGCCAAGGTTTGGACAATATCATCAAAATACACCCGATATGCGTACAATTGTGCCATTGATTTTCTTAATCCACCAAATCTACTATAAAATTGTAATCCGAAAGCTAATTGAAAAAATACTTCAAAAGATCAAAATGCAAACCTGCACTTCCAGATAGTGGACAAGAACTATGTGCGATAAATCCCTGCAGAACCCATTGATAAGGTAAGCAAACAAATATATAGCCATTTAATCAAACCTTCAAGCAATAAAGTATGGGTTGACAGTAGCAAGGCCATGCAAATGCAAGCTTGAATGCATAATATGCATGCTATTATTATGAACTCACTCTTCCAGCATCCAATAAGTGCGCCTCTGAAAATTTTCATTTTCTTCCCCATGTGCATAGTAACATTGCAGCACGTACACACTTCCAGCCTAACCAAAGAATTTAATTGTTTTCTATTAAAATGCAAAAATTGCTCCGACTATTAAACAGCAAAGGATACAATCAAATTACCTGGCCAATACAAAAGAGTTGTGTTTGAAGCATAATCAGAGCTTTCAAAATTGCCTCAACAGTGAGCAAAAACGGAAAGACAAACCAAATGCATCTTTGAAGCTAATTACCTTGAGCCTCTCGTGAGCTTCCTTTACCGCCTTTCCTTTCTTCTTCCTCCAGTTATGCCCATCCTTGCGGAAGTATCTTAACACCTTTCGATCATAAAGAAAAAGTGAACCACCTGTCAATTATATAGAAATCAAGCCAAGGTGCAAGCTTCAACCTTGAATCAAGAAGTATAATTTTAACTGGGGGTAACAACTACTGTCTTAAAGAACATTTCCTGTCAATGTGCATAATCATTTCTCCTTGCAAACCTATTTACCTGTAGTGTGGGACACCCATACAATGTAATGATCCGAGAACCTAACATCTTAGAAATCTTGAAATAGGAAATTTCCTTCTATAACATATACCAGGGTCCAGGAAGAATAGTTAGTGCCGTGGAATCTCAACAGTTTCCTTTCATTTTCTGTTAAACGTTACCTTCATCCATATTTTTATGGTGATATTTCATCAGTTTCTTCATATGTAAGTAGTTCCTTGCTTGTTTATTGCCCTTTATGACCCTCCATAGTCAAGCACATCCTTATGAAGGCCAGGATCATATGTACTTGTGTGTAAGAAAATGATTTTTCTTATAAAAACTCAATTTTAATCACAATCAGAAAATGATCTAGAATTTACAAAATAAATCATGATCGAATTCCTGTGATTGCCCCTACCTAAAATTAGTTAGTTAGCTAGCCATAATACTTGCAAATAATGATAAGGAAATTTGTCGGCAAAATTTTCCATATTTGTGCTAGAGCTCAATGGCCTGCAGGGACCATGGAGGCGTGAATCAACACTCAACATGAAGCAAAATGCCTTAGAAATGGGTTTCAAGCCACAGTAATCAATCAATTACTGTTTGGAACAGTAGAGAACCTATAGAAAGACTGTTTTAGCTGAAGCACTCCCTGGTCAAAATGAACCAAACACTAACTGATGCAACAAATATTCAAAACATTGACCCATCAATTTGGCGAAGGAAATGGTTGAGAACCTAGACAGAGATTGTGGAATTTGACTGCAAAGCCTTTCAACCTAGAGGCACGAGGCATCAGAATTGGGAGGGAGGGCCAACCTCCGTTAGTGCATCAAATGATGCAATTCTACTACATATTCTACAACTGTATCAAGAATATGAGTCTACCATTTGAGACTCGAGAGTCCTAAAGCAATGGAAAACTTTTTAATGTTGGGCAAAGAATGTAGCAAGAAAGATGTCCCCCAACCAATATATAAATTATAAAATGAAAGATGCTAAGCTCATGCAAGAAAGGTTCTACTGGCGAATACTGAAAAAAAAAAAAAACATAATAAGCGATATTAAGATAGCAAGCAAGGATTTGAAGTAGATGATTACACTGAAGAGTTTTACTGCCTAAATTCACAAGAAGATCCTAGCAGAAATTGAATCATAGTAAGCTGCATTCCTCATTGCAGTTATTTTATAGAAACAAAGTAATACCCAAGACATGTTTTGAAATAATACGCTTCTATACAATTACGTTAAGCACGCAGGAAGCTTTGAAGTCGTTGTTGACATTTTCTTAGAAACCCAACAATAATGCTAGAAATGTTCAACTATCATATGTAAATAACAAAAGATCAAAATATCACTTAGGAAATCATACTTGGAGGCATATTAGCAGGCTCTGAAGCAATAGAAAATTTGTGGTGGTTTTTGAGAATTTCACATATTTCGGCCGGGCGTAGCCATCGATGTTTTGCTTCTAAAAGGATTTGTTCAATATCTGTATTTGATCAAGTAACAGATGTCAGCAAGTACAACGATACGAGAAGGTACAAGAACCATTGCCTCCGTCAATTTCTCGTTCCCATACATAAATATATATATAGAACAATAAACCAGAAGGAAAAAGCACCAGAAGAAAATATAAATTATGGAATATGAATTACAGTAAGAGAATGTAAGAAGATAATGATGTGCCTAATGTAAATAACTTCGATCTTCTGCAACTTATTTTTACCGACTAGTATCATGACCAAGTACATGTGGATTATGGAGATAAACAAGTTTCGAACATTCCGAATTTCTTTCAAGGACAGCGTAGTGGACAAAACAGCAAGAAAGTAGAACAACCAGAGCTCAAAAGATTGAAAAAAAAAAATCAAATTATGCCTATAGGAAGTTTCTAAGTCAGAGTTCAAGAGAGAACAAATCACCAGAAAGAAAAACGTTCAGCTCAGTCAAAACACTGGCAGAAAGTTTCCGGAAAGAAACAAATCAATTCAGACGGCAACTGTCACAGAAAGAACCAAAAACTGAAGCTCAACTTCTAAATCTAACCTATTGAATTGCCAGGAGTGGAACGCCCACTTTCTGCCATGTTTTGGAGCTCGATTGACGACGACTAAGATCAAAGCAAAGCCACGCTTGACGCACAAAATACCGCAGGCGATTGCTGACCTCGATTGCGAAGTTAATCACGGCCAAGAACTTCCCATCGCGTGCAAAAAATGGAAGAAGACGATGAATTTGAGTGGAACGGAGTCAAAGCATTTGTCGACGACTGTTTGAAGCAAAATTGAGAGTAGTAGGTGTATTGATTCCCTCATCATAATTGTAGCTCAATTTCCATGCCAATGATCATAAAAAAAAGCTCACTATTCGTTGGCAAATCCTTACATTACACAGCGATCGGAGTATTGAATAGTACTGTTTGATGAACCAATCATTCATGGGGTGATACTTGCGCGTGTTTACGCTTGTACCTTCCTAGATATTCAAAATGGTCAACTAATCTCTTACATCATTCTTGATTTGTTATTAATCTTTTAATCTTGCTTTTTTCCTTTATTTAAACGTATTATAACTTCTCTACGAATATTACGTTAAATTTAAAATAATAATAATAATAATTTTAAATATTCAATTTTATATCTAATAAATTTGGTAATATATCAATTTTGAATAATAAGTTACTGACTTATTTAATATTTAGAAAAATTAACAAATCTAATGTTTAAGGCTCTATTAATTATAAAATTTAGTTTCATATATAATATATTAATTAATTTTTTTAAAATTATTAAACATAAAATTAAAATTTGGGTGACATAATAAAAAAAAATTAAATTCAAGGACTTACCAAAAATATAAAAGTCAGAAGTCTATTAGACAGAAATTTGATAGACCAAATAAACAAAAATTTAAATGTTGATTAATTAAACACGAACTTCAAAGTCGAGAGACTAAACTTATAGTTTAACCAAAAAAAAATTATAACTAAAATTTGAAGGGGTATACACGTGTTAGGTTGGACATGTATAGAATAACATTTTAATGGAAATTGAAACAAAAAACTTATGGTGAAAATTTATAAACTTGTTCAAATTTAATGTTTAAATCGATGAATTAGAAATTTAAAATTACAGATGATCCAAAATAACAAGTTTGATGTTTCTATTTATAAACTTGGGATATTATGGTAAAAAAATCAAAAAAATTAATAAAAATTTCCATAAACTCCCTCGTTTATCTAAAAAAAAATATCAGAAAATTATAAAAAGTTTTAATAATATTCTTGCAATTTTAAAAAGTCTTAAAAAAATACTAACTAAAAATAAAATTTAAAAATATGCCTATTGTATTTAAAAAATATTCTTTTAATTTTTTAAAAAGTTTAAAAAATACCTTACACATCAAAGTTTAAAAAATACCGATGAACTTTCAAAAACAAAATTTAAAAATTTAGAGATAATATATGAGAAGTGGATAGTCGATTTTTTTTAATAAGAATAAAACATGTTAATGATCCTTTTAAAATTTTATTGGTGTTTTTAAATATAGTACTACTATGGAGTTTTTTTTTTTTTTTTTTTTTTTTTTTTTTTTTTTTTTTTTTTTTTTTTTTTTTTTTTTT